GAGCTAGGAACTCCATCTGGGTCTTCCATGTGGGTGATGGGGGCCCGAGTACTCAGGCCATCATCTGCTGCCTTCTCAGGCGCATAAGTAGAAAGCTGGGTTGGAAGCAGAGCAATCAGGACTGACACTGGCACTGCAATATGGATTGCCAGTGTCACAAGCCATAGCTTAACCTGCTGTGCCACAACACTAGCCCCCATATGACTTTTACTCTAAAATTTTAGCCAAGAATCAGTAAAACTTAATAATATACTATCATCTTTGCTTCACTTTATAATAGAATTTTTTATCTGAATTGTATTTCTGATGGATGGAACAAGTGAAGGTTACCTGTTTGATATGAAAGCCAATGCTTTTTACTGCTGTGAAGGACGTTTTTAAGATTTTCATTTGCCTTATTATATGGTCTTATGGAATCTGAATTAAATTTTAGGTGATTGAGGAGATATCTGGTAGCTGTCTAGATGTCTCCAGAACCCATCTGAGTCCCTTTCCTAGTAGCCCTTTTTTCCTTCTCAGCCAGTTAGTTTTGGGGTCCCTTGAGTTCTTTGGACATAAATTCCAAGTGACTGGAGGGGCTGGAGTAGGAAGAGGAGGGTCTGGTAGGGTGAGGTTGATGGGGGGAATGGAGGAAGGAGGAGTTGGACACAGGATGTTTCAAAGGATTCCAGGGAACTGAGGGAAGATGGAGGGTGGTGAGACGAGGAGGGAGGGGCAGGAACAACGGCAAGGGAGAGGCCTTAGAGGAGCAAGTTGGTGAAATCATAAGTTCCCCAAATAAGGGCACTGAAATCCCACAGTATGCTTAATAAAGGCAAGCCCACAAAAAAGAAAGGTGACAGAATGGTAGAGCCTGTATCTGCTGGGAGCATATATCATCAACTGCAAGTTCCCATGGGAGAAACAAGATCAAACGGAGCAGAGGCCTCACAGAGTCAAGAATTTCCTAGCCCAGGGTGTCAGGAAGTCAAATTCTGCTCAAATGAAAGAGACAGGAAGACAGACTTCAAAACAGGTACCTTTCAGAGAAGCCTGGGTCTCTAATCCAGATGCTGTTTGCCTGGGACTCTAACCCAACTTCTTACAGAGACATCTAGGGCTCTAACCTAGCTTTTCTTTGTTTGGCCCTCTAAGCCAATCTGTAGCGTATACTGAGGCTGTTCCTATCAAACTCTTCCCTTACCAGCTTCAGTGTGTTTGTCCAGAGAAATAGGCCAGAACTCTGACTCACCAATGGATCCCTGATCAGTCAGGAATGAAGACAGAGGCTTCAAAGGTATACACTGGGGGTTCTCAGTGAGGGCTCTCAGAGTCTAATGATCAGTCTCTTCCTTCACAAGTCAATGGCACTTTCTTTGAAGGGACAGTCTCACTTTGTTCATTTTCAAGCAAATGGCCACCAGATACTATGTATGAATAATACTCAGTGTTTTTCTGCTATTAAGAGCATCCTTAGATGAAACTTGTTTTTCTGATTATGTGGCAGTTAGAAATGCACTGATGATAGATTGGTGCCAGATCTTTGATTTATGGTAATATGCCAGGATTTTACCTAGTACACTAATCCTATTGTAAATTTTCTATATTATGTTTTGACATCTTTTTCTTGGCAGGGGTGGGGGTAGGGAGAAGGTCTTGCTGCCTGAGAAGAGGTATCTCAGAGCTGGCAATTTGTTAACAGTGAACAATGTATCAGTGAGCCCACCTTTATTATACAAACCAACCAATCCCAAGTTCATACCCCCTTCTTTCCCCAGCTCTCACACACCAAACCAATGTCTTCTCTGCCCTAAACCACCTGGAACGAGATACCAGACCACTAGAGAACCCTCCTGTGGCCTATAGCAGGCTGCCACTCTTCAGACTGGCCAGTCCCGAGCTCTGCCCTGCCTTGCCTTTCCCCTAAAAACTCCAACAAAGGTTCTTTAGGCTTTCCCCTTTTTCCTTTTTCCTGACTAAAATCCGTGCTTCCTTAAGTGGCCTTGTATAGCATGGCACGCACCCTCTTCCCGAGAAAGGTAAATAATAAAAATTCCTTTTTTAAAAAAATTTTTATTTGACAGGTAGAGTTATAGACAGTGAGAGAGAGACAGAGAGAGAGGTCTTCCTTCTGTTGGTTCACTCCCCTAATGGCCGCTACGGCCGGCGCATTACACTGATCCGAAGCCAGGAGCTGGGTGCTTCCTCCCAGTCTCCCAACAAAAATTCTTTTAACAGCACTGGCTGCTTTGTGTTGTCACCCAATCATCTCCGTAAATTAAAGCCCCATGGCTACAACTGAGACACCCACCATTGGTTTTGCCCCACTGGTGCAAATATAAACAGTACAAAAATGACAAATGAAGTGTTGTTATTAATAAAAATAGTTTTGACCTTGCACATACCCCCCTACCTTGTCCAATATAAGGGCCTTAAGTATTTATAACTAACACCTATGGAACTGATGATTTAAATCTTTCTTGTTTTTCTTCACTTTCTTTAGAATTTCAGTCCTTTATCTTCCTTCTATTATTATATTCTATTTAAACAATCTTCAAAAAAGTTCATGTAAAATGTGTATTATGAAAACACTATATGGATTTCAAAATTTTTATGCCAAAATGAATTTATATTTTAGTGTATGTGCTGCTGAAGTGAGCACATGAATTTATATTTTAATTCTATTTTTCCACAAGCTTTTAGAAGCGCACTCCTAAGCATTCCTGAATTTATCCCCAAATCAAAAGGAAATCATGGTCTAATTTTTTTTCATCTTAGTTTTTCTTTTCTTTTCTTTGTTTATGGTGATACACCTTCTACCTGTTTCCTGTACTCAGTTTCACGTTTCATTCTCACCATGAGGCCAACAGTCCGATTTCCCAGTCCCGTTGCCTTGGGACAAAGTGATACTTTCAGAATCGCTGTCTTCCGGGAAGCTCTGTGCTGCATGCCATAGTGCTGCGCATCACCCCTGACATCCCCCCACCTCGATTCGCCTCCTGGGTCCCTCAGTGCCTTTTCACATCTTGGTTGCTTTTCTTCCTTTTATCTGCGTTTCCTGCTAATGTATTTGTTGAATAAATGAATCTTATTTCATTGGACTCTCATTGATGCCTTTCTGATGAGTCTTTAAAGGATCCTTTTTCATTCTCAGCTCTTATGTATAAAAGTCCTACAAGCTGTAAAAATCTGATCCATTCTCAAGGTGCAGTGTCCCTGTTTTATGTGAATGGCTTTTGAATAAACACTTCAACCCATTTATTTCACTTTAATGTGCCTAAAAAAAAGTGACTATCAGTCATCTTATCCTGTTGAATCAGGAATAACAGTCAATAAATAAAACCGTTTTTAAAAGGGTAGGCATTGGACATAGCAGTTAAGGCACTGCATGCATGGGATGCTCACATCCCAGATCTGAGTGCCTGGGTTTGAGCCCCAACCATTTATTCCCAATGCCAGCTTCCTGCAAATGTGCGTTCTCGGAGGCAGCAGGTGATTGATCTAGAGGTAGATCAGTCACTCTACCACCCACCTGAGAGACCCAGATTGAGGTCCCAGCTCCTAATTGGCTTGGCCTAACCCTGGCTGTTCCAGGCATTAGTGAAGTAAGCCAATAGATAGTCATTTTCTCTGTCTCTTCCTCTCCCCTACCCTTTCAAATAATTTTTTTTTTTTGGACAGGCAGAGTGGACAGTGAGAGAGAGAGACAGAGAGAAAGGTCTTCTTTTTGCAGTTGCTTCACCCTCCAGTGGCCGCTGCGGCTGGCGCTGCGGCTGGCGCACCGCGCTGATCCGATGGCAGGAGCCAGGTGCTTCTCCTGGTCTCCCATGGGGTGCAGGGCCCAAGCACTTGGGCCATCCTCCACTGCACTCCCTGGCCACAGCAGAGAGCTGGCCTGGAAGAGGGGCAACCGGGACAGAATCCGGCGCCCTGACCGGGACTAGAACCCGGTGTGCCGGCGCCACTAGGTGGAGAATTAGCCTATTGAGCCGCAGCACTGGCCTTTTCAAATAAATTTAAAAAAAATTTTTTTAAATAGTCATTTTCTTTACTGTTAGTTGTTTCTTGATTCTTTTTTCCCCATAATCTTATTTATTTATCCTCATTTGTTTACATATTATTTTTCCCCCTAATCAGTCCTGGTTGTATCAAATTGATTCCATGATCTCTCCTGTACTTTCTTAATGATCTTGTCACAGTTTGTGTTACATGTAATCTAATTCTGAAACATCCCTCATGTTTTCATTTGCCACTGACATCTTTCAAAATGAGAGCCATGTTATTTCAGATGTGGACTGGTATAATTACTGCTCAAATTTGCCAAGATTATCTTCAGTTTTTTCAGTTTATACTCTCAATATGCTAAAATGGTACCACATATTATATGAAATTTAAGCCCCTCCTTTTAAAAAACAACTTATTTGAAAGAGCAGAAGGGAGGGGGGAGAAAGAGAGAGAGAATATCTTCCATCCGCTGGTTTTCTCTCCAAATGGCTGCAACTGCTGGGACTAGGTCAGGCTGAAGCCAGGGGCCCAGAACTCCATCTGGGTCTCCCCCATGAGTCTGGGGTCCAAGCATGAGGGCCATCATCTGCTGCTTTCCCAGGTGCATTAGCAGGGAACTGAATTGGAAGCAGAGCAGCCAGGATTCAATATGGGATGGATTTGTTTGGATTTCACTTTAATGTGCCTAAAAAAATGTGACTATCAGTCCTCTTATCCTGTTGAATCAGGAATAACAGTCAATAAATAAAACCGTTTTTAAAAGGGTAGGCATTGGACATAGCAGTTAAAGCACTGCATGTATGGGATGCTCACATCCCAAATCTGAGTGCCCGGGTTTGAGCCCCAACTATTTATATATATATTCATATATATATTCCATATAGGTTTTATTCCTCTCCACTGGACCTTTCATTATATGACAGATTAGATGCTATACATACAGAACTTTGCTTATGTGTATTTTCTTCATTTTAACAACGTACATTGTAGCAGTATTTATGTTTTATATGTCTATCATGAGGTAATTTATTCTGGACTTTCTGTAGAAAGAAAGCAAGATAGGTTGTTCCACCGTGGGTTGTCTGTGTATACATCAGATTTATAGCCTTTATGTGAAGACTTACAGTGTTGTTAATTTTATTTTTTCTAGGTGAAGATGGGAAAGCTGAAGATGCTTTAGTGAAATTCAAAGAATACCAAGACAAACTTTCTAGATCGGTGATATTCATCAACCACAAAAAACTAGTTAAGGAGAAAAGTAATATTTGTGGGAAAACACTTACTGTAGGCAAGAACCATATTATTTCAAAAACACTTTGTGAATATAAACCTGATAGAAAGGTTTTTAAAAATACTTCAGAATTAGTCATTAGAAATATAAACCCCATAAGAGATAAAGTTGGTGAGAGTAATGGATGGGAGAAATCACTCCTCAATACTAAACACGAGAAAATTAATCCTGCTCCTGCGGTGAATCTCCACAGACAGACAGAAAGGGATCTCAGGGGTAAACAAGCGCTTACTCAACAGAAGGTTCAAACCTCAGAGCCACAGCTCAAACATAATGAATGTGAAAAATCCTTCCTTATGAAAGAAGTGTTATTTACACATCCTAGAGTTCACAAAGGAGAAAGACCCTTTGAATGCAATAAAGATGGCATGGCCTTCCTAGAAAAGCCAAATCTTGGCATCCATCCACATCCTCTTACGGAAAAGAAGCCCTCCGCATACAACAAATACGGGAAACTCCTCTGCAGAAAATCTGTTTTTATTATGCATCAGAGATCTCAGACGGAAGAGAAACCCTTTCAGTGTCCTTACTGTGGGAATAGCTTTAGAAGGAAGTCGTACCTCATTGAACACCAGCGAATTCACACAGGGGAGAAACCTTATGTTTGCAATCAGTGCGGAAAGGCCTTCCATCAGAAGACAGCCCTCACTCTTCATGAAAAAACACACATAGAGGGGAAACCCTACATTTGTATCGATTGTGGGAAGTCCTTCCGACAGAAGGCAACCCTCACTAGACATCACAAAACACACACAGGGGAGAAAGCCTATGAATGTACTCAGTGTGGAAGTGCCTTTAGAAAGAAGTCATACCTCATTGATCATCAGAGAACTCACACAGGGGAGAAACCATACCAGTGCAATGAGTGTGGGAAGGCATTTATCCAGAAGACAACTCTCACTGTCCATCAAAGAACTCACACAGGAGAGAAGCCCTATATTTGTAATGTATGTGGGAAATCCTTCTGCCAAAAGACAACACTCACTCTCCATCAGAGAATTCACACAGGGGAAAAACCTTATATTTGTAATGAATGTGGGAAGTCCTTCCGCCAGAAGGCAATTCTCACTGTTCATCACAGAATCCATACAGGAGAGAAATCCAATGGATGTCCACAGTGTGGGAAAGCCTTTAGTAGGAAATCAAACCTCATTCGCCATCAGAAAACTCACACAGGAGAGAAACCATATGAATGTAAAGAATGTGGGAAGTTCTTCAGCTGTAAGTCAAACCTCATTGTCCATCAGAAAACACACAAAGTAGACACCTTGGGAATTCAGTAAGTGATGTGACTTTTTTTTATAAAAACGTTTTAAGTCATAGCTAACACATGTTGCTTGCAAGTGTAATAATATTCAACAGTTTAAGGTACTAAATACTGCAGAACTCACCTACTGTTTGCTACCCAATAAACACACACACACATGATGTTACTAGATAAATAAAAGGACAAAGCACATTGAAAAATAAAAGCCAACAACTTTTATTAGATTCAGCAAACTAAACTCTCCAGGGTCAAATTGCTATAAACCTTTAAAGTTGCTTATTTCCCATTTTAATACACACTTTCTGTGAACCTGTAATAAACAGTTGGCCAACTGGCAGTTGTCCGTGGACTACACTGTGAATAGAAGTGCTTTAAAAGGATATGTGAAGTGTATTTCTTATTGCAAATATGGAAAAAACTTAGTTGTTACCTCCTCAAAGTTAACCACAGTTCTAACATTAAAATTAGCTTTTGTATATGATAAAACTTTATATGAATTGATTATATATCATGTATTCACATATGACTTATTTCATTTATCATTATGTGTAATAATAAGTGTGTGTGGTAAAGGTTCATTTTATTTTTATTCTGTATAGAATTATATGAGTGTGTCACAATTTATACATTCTACTTGTGATGAACTTTTACATCGTTTACAGTTGAGGGTCATGATAAATACTGCTTCCGAGAACATATTTGTCTTTTGGTGTGCATGTGTGTTCTTCTCTCGTGTTTATAGTTAAGGAGTGGGATTGCTGGGTCTGAAGGCAGATTATGTTCATCAGCTTTGGTTTATGCTGGCAAACAACTCAGAGCTTTCACCAGCATGAGATAATTTACTTTGAAGGGGAACAACTATGAATATTATCAATATTGTGGTGGTTCAAACCAGAGAATTAATGCTGTATGGAAGCTCTGTCAATGTTATTGTGAAAACTGGAGTTATGGAGATAATGCATATAGAAAGGGCTTCTAGCTACAGCCCAAATCTTAGTATATAATCACACAAATATAATAAATATCAGGTTGTCTTTTGCCACAGTTAATGCCTTACTTGAAATCAGAAAGTTGTACAAAGAGACAGACATTTGGCCTAGTGGTTAAGAAACCCATGTCCCATATTGGTGTCTTTGGATTCAATACCCAGCTCAGCACCTGACTCCCAAATTCCTGCTAATGAGACTCTGGGAGGCAGAATGATGGCTCAAGTAGCTGGGCTCCTGCCACTCCTGGGAATCCTGGGTGGAGTTCCCATCTCTTTAGTGTGAGCCAGTCACAGCCATTGCAGGCATTTGAGGAATAGACCACTAGATTTCTCTCTTCTCTCCCCCTCTTAAGTAACTTAATGAAACTTTTTTTAAAGACCTGTATAACAGAAACAAACAGTAAATTAAAATTCATACCAGAGAAAGAGAAGAATCCAGCATTCCCTTTCTCAACATCAGAGAATTCCAACTGGAGAAAAATCCCATGAGAATATTGAAGGTGGAGCTGGGTGGAAGGCAGCAGCTTTTACCCATGACCTGTACCTCAGTGGTCATACAGAAATGCTGAAAGCTTGTAGCCAGAGCCGGCACTGTGGCGTAGTAGGTTAAGCCTCTGCTTGCAGTGCTGGAATCCCATATGGGTGCCAGTTCGAGTCCGGGCTGCTCTACTTCCAGTCCAGCTTCCTGCTAATGGCCTAGGAGAGAAGCCGCTTGGGCCCTTGCACCCTCGTGGGAGACCCAGAAGAAGCTCCTGGCTCTTGGCTTTGGATCAGCTCAGCTCTAGCCATTGAGGCCATTTGGGGAGTGAATCAGCGGATGTAAGACCTCTCTCTCTCTCTCTCTCTCTGTCTCTCCCTGTCTGTAACTCTTCTCTCAAATAAATAAATACATTTTAAAATAAAATTTTTAAAAATCTTATAGCCATCATCAAATCTTACACAACAGGGAAGTCACTTTGGATGGAAATGTTTCCAATGAAATGATGGTAAGAATGACTTTAACTATATCTCCCTCCTTATGGAACATCAGAAAGAACCCCTAAGAAAGGAAGCTTATGAAGAAAACAAATGAGGCTTGGGACTTCTAACTGTGGAAAACTAGCCTCTGTGAAAGAAGTCCAACCATATACACACTATAATGCTAGAGAGTATTTGTGTAGCCACCCTGATCAACACCTCCAGCTAAGTTTCCAGCCGTTCACCACCATCAGCGGCCAGCCGCGTGAGTGAGCCCTCCTGGACATAGGTCATGTACTCCAGATGACTGGAACCCCTGCTGACAAATAGCTAGAACCACAGAAGACACCCCAAGGGGAAACTGCCCAGCTGAGGCCTTCCTAAACTCCTGACCCACACTTTTACACTTTTTATTAAACTTGTTTGATTAAAACAAAGGTAAAAGTGATTTTATATATAACATAATATGTGTGTGCATATATACATATATATGATAAAAGTATAAATATTTGTATTCCAGGGTCATTAAGAAAAGGTTATTTGGGTATGAATAAAAAGTAGATCCAAAATATAATTGAAGATTTGGCTGTATTTTGGGTTTGCCATTGTGTATCTTAATTATGCCTCAGTTGAGGGAGTCCATATATCTTCTTTCTCATTTTTGGGCTGTAAATTATATGTGTCAATTGGGCTAGCTTTTTATTTTTTTTAAGATTATTTTATTTATTTGAAAGACAGAGTTACAGAGAGAGGTAGAGACAGGGAGAGAGGTCTTCCTTCTGCTGGTTCACTACCCAGATGGCTGCAACAACCAGAGCTGTGCTGATCCAAAGCCAGGAGCCAGGAGCTTCTTCCGGGTCTCCAACACAGGTGCAGGGGTCTAAGGACTTGGGCCATCTTCTACTGCTTTCCCAGGCCACAGCAGAGAGCTGGGTTGGAAGAGGAGCAGCCGGGACTAGAACTGGCACCCATAGGGGATGCTGGCACTTCAGGCCAGGGCTTTAACCCACTGCGCCACAGTGCCGGCCTGGGCTAGCTTTACCTGCAAACACACACTTCCAAATGTTGCAAAAAAGAAAACCAGCCCAAACGATGTATGAATAATGCAGAGTAAAGCAAGCATATCTTTAAAATATTCTGTGCAGAGTAATTTCTCATGAAGTCCCATGAACTAAGGTGCAAAGAGAAATAAATACATGGAATCCAGTGAAGATAAGTACAACCATGCCCCTATAGGAAGAACTCTGTATTCTTTCTCAATTAAGTTTGGCAGCTCTGAGGAGAAAACATGGAGTTTAGACTCCAAGTCTAGTCACAACTAAATATGTACAATGAGATAGGAGTCATTGTGCAGATTCAAATTTTATAGACCTAACCTCAAGGTCACAGGACAGGTCCAAAGATGTCTTCAGTTCAAAAGATGAACAGGACAAAAGATGCAGTGTGGACTGCATACCCATGTAATGCTTACATTTAAAAGCAAAGAATGTAGGATGAGCCAAAGAAAGGGTAGCTAATAATTGGGAAGTCTGAGAATCATCCAGATGCGAGATCCCAGTGTCCTCACTCAAAACAGACTGTGCTGTCTCTGGAATGAACTGTTAAGATCCATAGGAAACTTGGCTTTAGGATTCTCAAGGCAGAAGATCTGTGGAAGAGTTCTCTGTTCACTTGTTAAATAGTCGAGCCTTAGGGTAGGCTATGTAACCAGTTGCGTAAGTTGGAGACCATCAGTAAACAAACTGGTTGTGGGAGGTATCAGATGTTAAACAGTACTTCCTATATCTCAATGCCCTCATCTTAACCAAGATTCAAAGTCAGATATCTAAGCATCATACATTGTTCAGAGCGTTTCAGTCCTACTGTTAATCAACTCCATAATATAAGCATGGTTTTCACAACAAGTATGTGCTTTCTAATAAGTTGTATAAACAAGAATGTGCACCGTGTGAACCTTTCTTTTAAATCAATGCTTAGGTTCTTCTATTAATTTCTGGTGCAGCAGTACAGCTAGGCTTGCAATGGCCTGCCTCAGAAGTAATACGCAATGGCAAAAAACACAGATCTGAACACAGGGTTCCAACATTAATTTGGGATGTTCTACCATCTGAGAGTCATCAATTTATAATCTTGGACTTTTGAAAGCCCTACGTAGGTGACAGTACCAAGGCTGGTGAAGATGTGGAGCAACTAGAACTCTCTCACATTGCTTATGGGAAAGCAAAATGGTCAAGTCACTCAGGAAGACAAATTGTTAAGCATACACTTCCCCTATGACCCAGAAATTTCACTTTTAAGTACTTATCCTAGAGAAATGAAAAATTATTTTCACACAAGAACCTATACGTGAGAGTTTACAGTATCACTTGTAATCACCAAAACCTATAAATGACCCAAGTGTTCTTCAGTGGGTAAACGCAAATGTTGTGGTACATGCACAAAATGAGATATTATTCAGCATTAAAAATAATGAACTTAACACACGCAACAACATGGATGAACTTCAAATGAGTTATGCGGAAGGAAAGAACCCAGTGCAAAAAGTTACTTGTTAAATGATACATAACATGACTGTTCTGGAAAAGGCAAAAATGTAAGAAGAGAACAGATCAGCTCTTCCCAAGTGGGGAGGGGGAAGGCTTGAATACAGAGGGTCCACGAGGAAATTCTTTGAGGTATTGGAATTGTTTTATGCCCTGTCTTTGGTCATAGATGCAAGAATCTATGCATTGCCGGCGCCGCAGCTCACTAGGCTAATCCTCCACCCAGCAGCGCCGGCACACCGGGTTCTAGTCCCAGTCGGGGTGCCAGATTCTGTCCCGGTTGCTCCTCTACCAGGCCAGCTCTCTGCTGTGGCCCGGGAGTGCAGTGGAGGATGGCCCAAGTGCTTGGGCCCTGCACCCCATGGGAGACCAGGATAAGCGCCTGGCTCCTGCCTTCAGATTAGCGCGGTGCTCCGGCCGCAGCGCGCCCGCCGCGGCGGCCATTGGAGGGTGAACCAACGGCAAAGGAAGACCTTTCTCTCTGTCTCTCTCTCTCACTATCCACTCTGTCTGTCAAAAAAATAAATAAATAAAAATAAAAAATAAAAAAAGAATCTATGCATGTATAAAAAATAGAAGTATACACATACAAAGTGAACTATTTGCAAATTTTAAAAAAATAAATAAAAACTCTAGGTCTGTGTGTGTGCCCTTCAGAAAGTCTTTGGATTCACACCTCAATTTTATGTCCAGTAGCCTCCCTACCCCCCAACACACACTAACACCTACTGGCCATGCCCACATGATATAATACTTGTTCCTCAAATCAACTTAAGCACAACACAAGGAACACATTGCACTTCACCCATTTTTGTAACTTTCAGATGACTAGCAGGCTTCATGTCTGGGTTGTAGAGCACACTTAAGGAAGATGTAACACAGACTCTATGTTCTGTGGGGCATTCACCAACAGAATTAACAATGGCTCACTGAGCTGCTAATCTATACACAGCAGGGGGCCGGCGCCATGGCACAGGTTAATCTTCCGCCTGTGGCGCCAGCATCCCATGTGGGCACCGATTCTAGTCCCAGCTACCCCTCTTCCAGTCCAGTTCTCTGCTGTGGCCTAGGAAAGCAGTAGAAGATGGCCCAAGTGCTTGGGCCCCTGCACCCACGTGGGAAACCAGTTAGAAACACCTGGCTCCTGGCTTCAGATTGGCACAGCTCCAGCCATTGCGGCCATTTGGGGGGTGAACCAACGGAAGGAAGA